TCATTACCATGCTGGCAATGCTAAATTTGACCATTTATTATTTTCATGTCATAGGAAATATTTCAGTCATAAGGGTAACATTTTTTGGAAAACTTGATTTATAAATCATTTAAAAGTTGTATAAATAAGCTTTCCAGTTATTTTAAATAGATACAACTATATGAAAATCAAATCACATTTAAAGTTGTCCAGAATAATTTCTTAGCAATGTCTATTACTAACAAAAAAATAATAATTTTGATAAATGTGCAACACAAATTTTACAGAATATGTTAATTTTCTGTAAATTGTATTCAGATTTTTAGCATAAAATAAACATCAATAATCGTGACTCGTGCAAGGTATTGTTGGCTTTTCCAACAAATATACCTGTTGAATACCAGACAGTGGCTGCGATAAAATTTTATATTATCAATACTTTCATGGAATGTTTTCAATTTGTTACTTTTTCAGATTTTTTTGATGATTACTGAGTTGATAAGAAAAAAACTATTTTACAGTTTGTTTAAAAAAAAACTGTAATTGTAATTGTCAAACTATTAAATGCATCCTCATTAAAAAAATAATTATATATATATATATATATATATATATATATATATATATATATATATATATATATAAATAGGTAACTACAATAAGGTTGTATTAGTAAATGTTAGTTAAGGCATTTACTAACATAATCAAATAATGAACAAGACTTTTACTATTTATTCATGCTAGTTAACGTTCATGTTAACTGACAAGTGTGAATTTGGATGTTAATTTTTTCATGTTTGCAATTACATAAACTAATGAAACAATGTATAGTGCGACCAAATATTTATTTACTTATATCAGTAACCCTTGTTTTACTGTATGCTACAGTATTTGTGAATTACCATGATGCATTGCAATGTTAGAGTCCAACTGCTGGTGGAGCTGCAGACTTCAAACTCCCCTAAACATCAATGCAACAATCCAGTCTTATAAAAGCTAAAGCCTAAAAGTGCAAACGTGCCACATCCTTTCACAGCCAAAATAGCATTATGCGAAAGGGCAAGTCCAGACAACCTCCAATGTATCTGAGCTGCCGCTATTCCCCGACATCTACAATTCTGCAACCAAATCCATATGCCCAATACATATCCACATAATAAATGCAACATGATGATGGTGATAACCTGTACACAGATTCAGAATCCAGCATTTGTTGCCAGTTCTAATGTTGCAGACTGTTGCTCTAGGTCATTAGATCAGCCCTCATAAGACAGCGAATATTTAGTCATCAGGTCATTAGTGTGAGCGGTGCTAATTAATCTCAGAGCGCAAAGCAGCGTCGCGAGAGGGGCTCTGGTTTTTGATTACAATAGAAGAGCATTTGCTGCGGTCGCCATAATGATTCTAGGCTCTTGCTAGAAAGCCCCCGCTCACTCCGGTTACAGACAAGGTTTAATCAATACTGTGTCCTTCATCCCGCATTCAGGGCCGACCTTGGCAGCCTTTTGTCTCCTAAACGAGGGCAAAGAGCATGTATGTGGATACACAGAGAAGAGAAATACGGGTCCAAGCACAATGTTCCTGCGTGAGAATAAAATAAAAGCACATACAGTAAAGCTCATTTGAAACCCAATGAACCATCTTATGCTTATTTAGTAGCCAAACCAAGTGTCACTGTGCCAGGATTGTTTAAATCAAATGGAAAAGCAGGTTTCCTTTTAAACAGGTAATAGAAGTTATCATGGAATTTTCAAAGGACGATTCCAGACATTGAAAGTCAAATAATTTTATTTTTTTATACAAATTATGTAATATCACAGATTTTTAAACAATGAAATTTTAAGTCCAAGGCACTCGAAAAGTGAAAAAAAAAAAATTTTAAAGCCTTTTTTTCCCCACTTATTTTGAGTCTTACGTTATTGTTTGTCTTTATGAATCCCTTAGCCAAAGAGCAGACACCAAAGAGCATAGAATCACCAAAAGGCGACACTCTAGTGCGATTTGGGAAATTAAATGCTGCTAGGGTCATGCGGCGGCCATTTTGGAATGAAAATTCTAATAGAACAACAACATATTTTAAGTCAAGTAAACTATTAAAAGTGCTAATGATTGTGATAGTAAGTGTTGTATTGTCGCATTTCAGGTTGTATCTCAGCTTTAATGCTTTTTTAAATAAATAAAATTTAAAAAAAACAAAGCAGCTGCTAGCCATCGCGACAATAAAGCCTCCTTTCCACTGCACATGACAAATGACAAGCAACAGACCGGAAGTCATTCATTTCCAATGGAGAGCAGTCCAGGAGCTGCGGGGAATTCCGATCATGTCTGTATGCGGAAAATTCAATTTCGAATTGAGCTGCGGATCCATTAAAATATTTGAACTCCTGCGACTAGACCGTATGCGACCTGCTGACCGGATATGATGTACTCCAGTGTTGTCCAAGCAGGTTCATGCGCGCAAGATGAGAAATAGGAGTTTATTTGGTTATTTTTTTAATTATAAAAAGTCCATATTAAAAAAAAAAAAAAAAAACGTTTCTATTCGTAAAATGTAAGTAAGAAATAAAAAAAATATATATTTTTAATGTTGTCTCCACATTCCCTCCAATATTTTAGCGGTCTATGAGTTTCTAGTATATATTCATCCATCAAACTATGTAAACGCAAAGAGAATAAAGGCTCTTGCTTTTGCCCTCCTTTATTTCAGACATCGTGAGAATCATCATCTCCCCCATTGTGCACGACAACACTGAAAATACTGTGCGGCTGCCACAAGGGGGCGTATTCCAACAGTCGTGTCCAAATGTCGTGTGCAGTAGAAAGGCGGCTTAAGATCCAATAAGATCCGATAAGGCTGTTCACTTTAACTCCAAAATGGCGGAATCTCAGGGCTGTTGCTGGGCGATGCTGTTGCAATGGAACGCTCTATTGAGTGTCGCCTCTGGGTCATTCTAAGCTCTTTGTCGACACTAGCCCCTCCTGAAGCACTTTTTTGTTTGATTTTGAATTTATGCAACAGTTCTGTCTGGTTCTCGAATCTGATTGGCTGATAGCAGTGCGATATTCAGCAATTACAGAACTTTTACAGCCTTTTCACTCTTGTGTATTACTCCACCCACATAGAGTGACAGCAGATCATTAAACTCACTACAGTTTGACAGATATTTCAGCTGTTGGGCAACGTAATGTATTTGAGGTTTTTTTTTTTTTTGCGAGAATGTAGCTGTTAAGATTGCAACAGCAGTTTATTTACAAGCATAGTGCCTATTTTAAATATTTATAATTTCGGAGATAGATCGCGTCATCCATCAGCCTGTCATAATGAGCAAAGACGGTTGACATTGTCCATCAATAAGATGGCAACAGAGATGCCATAATAAGCACTTAGACGAAAACTCAGCATATAAAACTACAGCTGATCAAACAACTATTAAATTGGTAAGTGACTTTCTAAGTTGATCTCTCTTTTGAATGCTGCAGTGCTGTTTTTATACCATACTAATTGCAGTGTATTGACTGTGAGATGGGACTCACATATGTATGTATTTTGGCAATGTATGTATTTTGTGTCGGCCACTCTTTGAATAACCCGAGTTACATTTTGGTTGGACATCTTTTTGTTTCTAACAAGTCTCCCGTTTTTGTTACTGCAGACTAGTTCAGTAAAAAGAGAGATGCCCGCATGTGTTTTAGTGTTCTTCCTTATCGCAAACATAACAGTAATCTGGTAGTAATCTCAGCCTTATGATCCTAAAATGTGAGCAAAACTACCTGTTGTGTCTTCTCTTTAGACATTACGCTAGAGAATTCCTGAAATACTAGCTTTAAAGTGATGTTTGTGAAGTAGCAACAGTTTCTGCTGTTCTGACGTCAACTGCAGGAGTGAAGGAATGGCTAAAGAAAGTAGTTCCTCATCCAAATGGATTTTTAGACTGAGTTTTATTTTCTTTTTTTCATATACACAAATTTGCTGTCGAACTGTTGTATAAATGCAATATCGCTCGTAGCAGTGCAATATGGCTGTATATCGTCACTGGTCGGACACTAAGGCACTCGTCCTGCTGCCTTGTGCCAACACACGCCTCCCTCTGTGCCGATATACAGCCATATTGCACTGCTACTCGTGGGATATTGCTTATATACATCACAGGTTTTTCTTTGTTATTTTGATACATTTTTCAAAATGTATTTTGTTTCTTGTCTTTTGCCTATTATCATGGTTAAGCTATTTTTCACAGCCATTTTATTCTTTTCCAACTCGTCAACCAGCATTCAAATGTAGTCGCCAGGCTGTACCTGTTAAAATACTGTCTGTGGCTGTTTTTTCTTTGTTTGCACAGCACTCAACCATTCCTTTGTAGAATTTTAGGAACAATTTTCTGATTATTGTAGCCTTAAATTATACATTTTTTGGTGACTTTCCTCATAAAATTTCTGCCAATACTTGTGGCATTTGTTGTTTTGCTGTGGCTGAACGTGCATTGCAATAATGTCCTGTGAATTGTGTAAAGCATGTCACACACCTAAAGAGAGGTGCAGCAATATACCATGTCTATAACAGATCAAAGGATTGAAAATTTTGATGAGCATTTTCTATACGCAAATATAATGTTATATAAGTAAATAAAGAGCAAGAAATCTGAGAAAAAAAATAAATAAATTGCAACCTCTTCTAAAAACTTGCACAACTGCTGCCTATTTATCTATTGTAGGTCATAGAAATTCTGCTTTTTAGTTAATAAATGGTCAGGGAATTCAACATTTAACTTTCCTGAAACCTTGAAAAAAGTAAGACAACAGAACAATCAGATAGATTTGTTTAAAAAAAAAAAAACGACAACATGCAATGAAAGTCTGTTAGATCAAATAAAGTGCAACAGCTGGTAGATTACGCATTGGATAGGAAATGTGGAAATAAAGAAGCTTTCAACAACCTCCAGACTTGAAAGTGCTAATCAGCAATTTCTTATGACTGAATTATCACTGTTTAAATATTCATAGGCACCTCGAGAACTGATAAATCAGGGAAACATGAACACAATTTATTGTTGGAAAACAAATGCTACTGCTTCGTTCTGCAGGACAGCAAATGTGTGTTACAAAACATTTAACAAACTTAGACATCATCATCAGCTAACAAAGGATTTATGAATATTAACAGTAAACAATTGACTTCTCTAACAACGCATGAAGAAATAAGTAAAGCAGCTTCACATCTTCCTCTTCTGGGTGCTGATGTATAACACTAGAGGGCAAAGAAAACAATAATTTACTTTGTTATAAGCATTATCTTTACAAGTTTGAAACTAACATACTCTGAGCTTCTGAAACTGCATCACTGTTTTCTGCTTAAAGGGATTGTACACCCAAAGATGGACATTTAGGCTACATTTATGACAATGTAACCAAAAAAAAGAAACGATTTTAGCTTTACCCAAAACACCTACTATTAGGGCTGGGCTGATAAACAATGTTATATCAAATCGCAATAGATTTTGGTTCAATAACAATGATAAGCTCTGGACTTTTTTATTCTATGTTGATCTTAAAGCCAATCACAGACCAGAAATGTGCAACAAAGGGAATCTAGAAGTGTGTTATTACAATTTTGAATATGCGCATTAAAAAAATATACGGAAATGCCAAGATGTTCATAAATTTTGAAAATGTGCATTAAGAAAAATGCATGCGCACAACTGAGTAGGATAAAATTTTTATTCCATACGAAAAGATACACATAAACTACAATGGAAACACTTTTACCAAACAAGTTCCAGTAGGCAAAAAAAAAAGTCATGTGATTTTGTTATAAGAGATAATGTGATGATGAATATGTGTGAATGGTATTGTAATACATCTGAAATGTTGTTTTTGGCATTCTAAAATGCCTTAACAGTTTTAATATTAGTGTTATTATATTATTAATGACCTCCAGAACCGTCAAGAGCATCTGTGCTCCGCTTCTGAGGCCTTTAAATGCCATTAGCCGCGTTTCCACTATCGCGCCTAAAGCGAGCGAGCCAGGGCGAGCCAAGGCCAGTGGGGTTTCCACTGTCACTTCCGGGGCCTGATCGGGCCAAAGCGGGGCTTTCTTGGGGCCAGCGGCCGGCCTTTTTCGGCCCGCCGAATACCTTGGGCCAAGGAGGGCCAGCTGGGGCTTCGGGCGGAGTGAAAGGAGAGGCGGGCAGTTTTCTGATCGCACATGAGTACATGCGCCAAACAAATAAAGAAATAAGGGAAAGAAAACATCTAGCCTTATAGTCTGGGGTCTTTTTGCGTATGATCACCCTTATGTTTCGCTTTTAAATGTAAGGCTGCTGCATAAAATAATAAAGTAGTTTTAATTTATAGTGACGTTCTTTGCTGCGTCCTCCTTTATGTTTCAATACGCATAATAATCTTTACACCATATTAAAAACACAGCAGACAGTAAAGGTTTTCGAGAGTTTTTGTCAAGTTTAAAAGGTGTGTTTGTGCGCGTTTAGATGCCTGTATGTGTGTGTGAGACCGGGCTAAAGCGCTCCTTCACAGCTCCGTTATGCCGCGAACGGTTTTTTTTCTTTATTTATTTTGGAGATAATACACAATAAAAATAAAACAGAAGGACATAAAACTTAACAAAATACGTGCCCACTTTCGTAGACTTTAAACAATATAGTTTCATATCCTGATAAAATAGCCTATAAGCTTTAATGAAATATAATTTAAAGAATTACAAATATCGGATAAATATAAAATCACATTAAATAAATAAACCAATATAAAATAAACAAAAGCTAGCTATATGTAGGTAGCCTATATACAACACATAAATCGAACCGTTTTAAAGCCACACATATAGCCTATAACTTTCATTTTACAAAGACCTGTCTGAAAAAAAAAAAGATTTTCGATATTTTATAAAAACAATTAACACCGGAGAAGGTTTGAAATATTATTTATAAAGTATTTGGATACGATGATATTAATCAAATCGCGCAAACAAAGCATTATTTGGGTGAGTGAAAGCAGAATCTCCTATACCTTTTTTTTCTGTCACCCAGTCCTGCGCAGCGCTCGCTGCTTTAAACGCATATGGGGGAAAGTCCAAACACAAAATGGGTTCTATATAGGCCTACTCAAACAACTGTTTATGTTTTTATATGACGTGGTTAAATTTATAAATGAAACTTTAAATGAAGAGCTTTAGTGAATAGCTGCCGAGCGCAAAAATATGGCTATATTTTATAAGGCTACTCGCTCTTATGCTGAAACACTTAACACGACTTCTATCAAAACGAGGATGTTATAAAATACATGCAATATCGAGTTATAAAGGAGAATTTCTGTGGCTTTATATTATGGATGTGTGCGCTCTCTGTGATGGGTCCCTGCGTTCGGCGAGAGCAGTCGATGAACAATGCTAGTTGGTCGGCGAGTAAACAAATGTAATGAATGGAAATACACAGGTCTGTGCGTATATACATTTCATGTACTGCTGTACAGTAACGTGTCATTTGTTTGTTTCGGTTGTCTTCATTTTAATGGTTTCGTTTAGTGATGATTATATGGTGTGCTTTATCTGAAGTGGGCGGGTTGTGTGACGTTTGATTCGGGGACGTTCTGTGGGCGGTGTTTGCGTGACGCGCTGTGAGCTATTAGCCCGTCAGTGGAAACGCGACATGATTTCGGCCTCATTTCTCAACCTCCCGGGCTATTGGCCTGGCCCGGCCCGATTAAAGCCCTGGCTCGCACTGGCCCGATAGTGGAAATGCGGCTACTGAGGAGCAAGTCCATTTATGAAATAAAGAAAAGATTTACGCAGCTTCTTTTACCGCAGCAAATTTCATTTTTACTGTATATATTTGGCACCAGTTATTCATGAAATGATGATTTTGTTCACTTTGACTCAATGGATGGAAACGCTGCAGTATTTGCACGTCTTATGCAATATTCCAGTTTTGCACATAAAGTTAATTCACATTTTTGGATGTAAACATGGGGGATACTATTTTAAATATGGAAGTATTAACAACTTATATCAAAATATATTTTGTTATTGTTCAATATTGAAAATAATTATCAATATTGCATTTTTGCCATATTGCCCAGCCCTTCCTACTATGAAAAAGCATAATGTCATCATTTTTAAAAACTCCCAGTTGTTTTAGGCATTTACACAAACAGGAAAACGCCAGGGTTTTCAAAAACTTTCACTTTGTAAACTACTTTCAGATTTTTGTGTTGACTAAACAAACAGGAAAATGCATAAAATGTTTTCCATTTTAGGCTGAATACCTTAACCCTTTTTTATCACTTAGTTTCTCTCAAACGATTCCAAACCCTCATTAGTTTCGTTTTTCTTCAGAAAACAGATGAAAATATTCTAAAGAATGTTGGTAAACAGTAGCCAAAAATTCCAATGTAAAAAAAAAATTGTACTTGGGATTTCAATAGCCATGTTACCGTCCACCCATTTTTCTCCACATATTGCACAAAAATGCTTAATGGAAATGTGCATCAATTTAGAAAATGTGCATATGCAATACGAAAAAAAAATGTACATTAACTATGATGGAAACAGATTTACTGAATAAATTGCAACATGCACATGAAAAAGTCATGCGATTCTGTTTTAACAAATCATCTGATACTATAAATGACAGTGGGACAGCATTAAGGGAGAAACCAGCAACTCAACCAAAATGCACAAGCGACCGTCTTGCTGTGAGGCAACAGTGCTAACCACTGAGACACCATGTCACCCATTCTGATGTTTTTTGATCGCCAATGTTTTATGCAATAATCTAGCTGTGCATCTAATTTACATATTTGAATGAAAAGATAGCTCATGGCAACTAGTTACCAACATTCTTCAAAGCATCTTCACCTTTGAAAGAAAAAAAAAAAACTCAAACATCTTTGAAAAAAGTAAGCCAAGTAAATGATGACAAATTTGATTTTTATGTGAACTATCCTTTTAAGGAGCTGAAAATAACAGAAAAAATATAAATAAAGACCTACCATTGTTTCCTCTGAGAAATGCATCTCCATACTTGTTCTTCAGTTGGCCGTTGACATATTCCTCTGTCTGTTCCACCGCAATATTCATGTAGCCGTCAAGGCAGGCCAGGACTCCTGAAGGCAAGATGCACATTAAGCATGACGAAACATATTTACATTATGATTTCAGAGGATTTCTTGGAAGATCAGGGGTAAAGGCAGGACTGTGTAGTGCTTGTTGGAAAACTTAACATTCTCTTCAAGTGATATTTAAAAATTCACAAGATACTGCATTACGATTGGGTGGGTGTGAAAGTTAAACAACCCACCCACAGTTATGCACCTCCAGACTAGATAAACTGAGTCAAAATGATGTTTCTCTGGGAATATATATTTTTCTAAGTATTGGATAACATATAAGACCAATTTTTATTTTGATCAAAAGATTATTTTTATTATTCATTTTTAACAACAAGTTCAATCTCTCAGTTGATGTACATCAATAACAGTTACATATTTAACAAAATAACTAAATAAATAAAACATAAATTTATATATACAATTGAAGTCAGAATTATTAGCCCCCCTGAATTATTAGCGCCCCTGTTTATTTTTTTCCCCAATTTCTGTTTAATGGAGGGAAGATTGTTTCAGCACATTTCTAAGCATAATAGTTATAATAACTTATTTCTAATAACTGGTTTATTTTATCTTTGCCATGATGACAGTAAATGATATTTTACTAGATATTTTTCAAGACACCTCTATACAGCTTAAAGTGACATTTAAAGGCTTAACTAGGTCAATTAGGTTAACTCGACAGGTAAGGGCAATTAGGCAAGTTATTCTATATCAATGGTTTGTTCTGTAGACTGTTGGGAAAAAAATTAGCTTAAAGGGGCTAATAATTTTGTCCCAAAAATGGTTTTTAAAAAATTTAAAACTGCTTTAATTCTTTAATTTAAGAAAAAAAAAAAATCTCCTAAATCACTTATTACCAAGACTAAAACTGAATTGTTCTTAGCAAATTTACAACAAGAAACATGAATAAAAGGTAAAGTAATTTTAATCCACTTTTCCTCCTTTGCAAATTCAAAGAGGTCTCATTTAAAAAGTGGATAAAAAAATTGGAAAAGAGACACTTGTATGATGTTTGTATCATTAAATTTAAATTTGTCAAGTTCTAAAAGGTTTTTTTCAGGTAGAAGTGACTTTAAAAATATATGGGTTAAACAAAGTAAGTATGAATCTTTTTTGGCCATTTCCCTATAATGTGCCCATTTTACTACATGCACACACAAAAAAACTACATTTTTGCCATGATTTACAGAAGAAACCTGTTAAAAACAATTGTCAATGAACAGAAAAATCTTATCAGGCATAAATACAACAAGAATCAATAGAAGACATTTCAGAATCATACTGCAGCCCTAGATTATAAAATTAAAATATAATATAATTAAAATCAAATTAGTTTTAATTAAAACAATGAATTGTCATTTTAAATCTTTATACTTTACCACTATTATTGCAAGCACAATGTTTAACTCAATTTTTTACTAGAAAGGTTTTAAACATTTTAAAAACGATTAATTTTATTATAGGGCTGCACAATATATTGTTTCAGCATAGATGTACCAATCTACAATATTCAGATCGCAGGATCTGCAACGTCATGTTGAGATTAATATATCACAACCTAATCTAATTGGTTCTAATAGTGTGAAATATTTCTATTTGGATTTGGATGTTGACAAGGCCTGTGAATTTTAAATCAGACAATTTTAAATCAATTTAAACCATTTGGGTACAAGACATTAGTTTGCCACTTTAACCAATATTAACTGGGTAATAATTAATTTTACAGTGAAAACAATATTGGGGCTATTTTACATTTGATTGAGTTTCAAAACAATATTAAGCACAGCACCATTTCAACTCCATTATAAAACCAAAATTATCCCAATCAATGTAACTTGCACCATAAAAAGCACTTAGTTTGCTTTACTTTAAAAAAATGAGCAAGCACATTGCCTTACAACGATTTAGTAAATGGGTTAAGTTAAAACAGAATTACTCGCTTTTCAAAGTCAACTTGTAGCTTTTAGGGTACTTTTCACTTTTTATAAAAAAAAAAGTAAAGCAACTAATAGTTTTTTTTACAATGTATGAATTCTTTCTAAACAGAGGTTATCAAGTTATCTTGTTAAATGATATTTATATTACAATGTATTTTGCAGAAAAACAGAAAAATCTGCCATTTTTTTTCAATATCGTGCAGGCATATTTCAGTATATTGACTTACTCCTGTTTATATTTTATAATAAAAGTAGAAGTATAGTAATTAAGAATAGTTGTTGTTAATTTTTACATAGATTTGATTTCATATTTTAAACGTCAACCAATATTAATTTCCTTTTTAGTTGATGCAAACTCCACACTTGCTTTAACAAGTGGAAATAAAACACTGGAAAAAAAATCAAAGGGTTTTTAATATTGATTTAGACAATAAAATGCATGGAAATCAAAAAGTTTGATAACAAATATCCAAGTGTAAGAAAATGGTGGCAATACTAAAGGAAGGTTTCAGACTAAAAGCCTTAGATCAAGAGCAGGATACAGCAACTGAGGTAAAGTTGGTTTTATATTCGCACATTTATTTAACGACAACTTGCGACACGCTCCCTATATTGTTTCCCACGGTACTTTGAATATTTGATTTGAAATCATAAGTAAGTTTGACATGAAAACAACATAGTACTATCTATTTGACTGTGAACAATGTTGTACTTTTATAGTCATTTGCTGATATGATTTCACTATTTAGAATTTTCAAAGAATACTTTTCTAAAATTATATTATTAAGAAAAAAGTGAGAATATGTGAATACAGGGCTCAACAATAAGGACTGCCCAATGGCCCGGGGCTAGTGTGCGAGATGCTAGGGACATTAAACAGGACCGTTACTGGCCTAATCAGGTCTTAAAATTAAGAAACTGTTATTTCAAGCCTTTAAATACTACCTTCTCAGTGAAGTTGTAAACACCATATTGCTTTTCGCTTCCTCTTATGTGATTGGATGATGTGAGCATGTTATTTTTTTCTAAAACTTGGTAAAAACCAGTACAGCAAAGAGGCGGCAACTTCAAATTAAGCTAAAAGAAAACGTCTGTTTCTAATGTCTTGGGTACAACATGACGAAAAAAATGTGATGTTCTGCACAGTTTGCCGCAAGTTTGGCAAGTCAGCCACATTTTGTTAAATAATTTTAAAGTGCAATAAAATACCTGCACATTTTCTATTATTTTTTTGTTTGTTTGTTTGTCTGCATTACACTATAAATTTTGCTTATTTTAGATTTATTAGCATTTTTAAATGCTACATTCGCAGATGTTATTTTTGACAGAACATTTAAAATATGTGGCTAGGATATTTTTTATTACAGCTTTTCTCAGTCGCTTTTGTGCGTTTCTCACAAAACTAGTGCATTTCTGCACAACAGTTAATGCATTTCTCAAAACAATTAGTTTAAACTGCAAAACCTAGATGATAAACTGCAAAAATGCGTCACATGCTCAAAATGGATAGTTCATTCCTCAAAAGCAAGTATTGATGTTAATCAAAGTGCCAGTATCATCAAAATGAAAAGTCCTGACACCATTGTTTATGAACAAGATAGTCACATGGCTTTGTCCTGTTTTCATGATGACAGTTTACTCTGTACATTTTTTCAATGCAAAAAAAGTCAGATTTTGTTGACACTTCCTGAAAATGCTCAAGACAACACTGCATACTATTTGCACAGCCATTTGAAAACTACAGTAAAGTTAGACATCACTGCATTTAGTGAGGAATCGGAGTACAACAAACTGAATATGTATGTTTCACATTTTAACTGTATATACTCTTTGCAATTCTAATTTATTCACAACATTGTGCAAAAGAATACATACACCCTTATTTACAACAAACAAACTCCCTTTGGGTAGAGTTGTGCACAACTGTACACAATATTGCAAAACATATAGGAACTGAAACTAAAATACACACAAGTCTATAAATCAATCATGAAATTGTTCAATTTTTTAGACATTATCAGGAAAATAAAGATTTAATTTTTTTTATAAAATATTGCTTAACAGATTTTGACAACTAGTTCAACATTTTTGTTTGTAATGACTCAAAGAATGAAATGAGAACTATTTGTTTTATATGGAATGACTACTCAGCATTCACAAGTTTAGTTGACATAAGCAGATGATAATGTTATAAATATCAGAGAGTTGTATGAAAGTAATTGATGCATGTCCAAAAGCATCTGCAATGTGTTGGAAGGAATGAGAAACTGCTAATAGGATGTGCACAAATGACTAATTATTTTGAGAAATGCATTAACTGTTGTGCAAATGTAAATAGTGTTGTGGGAAATGCACCAAAGCCACTGAGAAAAACTGTAACTTGTTATATTTGGTCAGACCAGTGAAAAGTTTCGGGCCAGTAAAAAAAATCTTTAGCGTTGAATCCTGGAATATAAAACCAACTTTACCTGACACAACTTTATCCATATTTAACTTGCATGTGGCAGTGAACTTGTAATAAATTACAATAAGGAAATTATGTTGTTTTCTTCAAGATTGACTTCCAAACCATCCTATTTTATTACCTCCAACACAACAAATATGATCAGTCCCTTCATGCATACCCTCGATAACTTGTAAATGATAAATGTAAAATACAAACATAAAAACAACCGCATATTTCAGTTTGTACCTCTGTAATCGACACCAGAGTTCAGTTTCACCACCACTGGCCTCCCAATGATCTGCTTCAGGAAATCACTTGGTGTCTGCTTTCGGAGACTCATTTTAGCTGAAAATGAATGACAATGAAGTTTATGAATAGCTCTTATAAAAATGAACCATGGCTGCATTGTTAACAAAAAGGATGTGACAATAACAACAAAACGTACTAAAGACGTTTATTTTAAACCACATAAGGGGTTTCCAGAAGAGGTTTAACCTTATTTGTTTGGAAATTGCCGGTGAACGTTATCGATAAGCGGCTAATTTAGCATGCTAGCATTCCAACCCAACGTATCACTTAATAAACGTGTCATCGTATATCTAGCAAGGTAACTACAGTGCTGCAGTTTTTTAAAACCCCACTAACGTCGAATGCATTCTTATATTAAAGCATACAACATTTAACGTTATTTACCTATGTCGTTTAGCAACGTTAACCGCACGTTTCGACTGAGCGACTGCTGACCAATGAGCTCGTCCGCTTATTCTAGTTCCATGGTGTGTACACCATTCAGCCAACCAGATGCTTCGTTAGAAAGCCAGTGTACGGAAGCCGACAAGATAGCGTTATCTCCTTTGACAAAGAATGCGTAGTGGAAAAAAGAGCCAGATCGACGGTGGCAGTAAAGACGGGGAATCGTCGCTTTTGCTACATTAGGACATAAAATCGTTAGACAAACAGAAGAATGACAGATGAGCTGATAAAAATGGACGAACAAACAGACGTATAGAAACCTAGACTGACAGACAGACAGACAGACAGACAGACAGACAGAAAGACAGATAGATAGATAGATAGATAGATAGATAGATAGATAGATAGATAGATAGATAGATAGATAGATAGATAGATAGATAGATAGATAGATAGATAGATAGATAGATAGTCTGTCTGTTTGTCAAAGTATTTTGTGTACATTGTGTATAATAAGCAACTTGAGGTTGTAGTTGAGGTGTGGCTAAAACATGTAGGAAAAAAGAAGATCCTGTATAGCCAAAAGAGAGAGAGGGAGATGGGGAAGAAAAAGCTGTCTTTTGTTCACAGGCAGAGGAGGGCATGCACCTGAGAGACAGAATCATAAAGCACTTCTGGCGCATCCAGACAGTTTGCTTGTTAGCAGGGCATTGGTAGCCCTGAGGAGGCTAGAGGTTAATTTGGTATCTGGTGCTGTGTTAAACTAAGGTCAGCGCTACAAGTCCTTAAGTCATAAACAAGTGTGGTTAAGAGCCGTGTACACACCTAGGCACGAGTTAATGAATATTCAATGAGTATTTTTCCCCTTGTTGCCAGAGTTCACATCCTAAAGGAGGGTTAAGAGAGAAAAATGTGATCTAATGCATTTTCCTATCAAAGCAATCATTCATTTAAGGAAAAAAAGGAAAGAAATTGAACGAGTTTACAGATTTTTCGGTTGTGGCACACAGCACCGGGATTTTCAGTTGTAAACAAATTTGGAATATCATGACAAGGAAGCTGACACAAGCACTATGATGCTTTCTTGACTACTGGAAAAGCGTGAATGGCTTGGCTTGTTAAGCGATACTGAATAAAACACAATAGAGCTCTACAGACACAGAAAGCATTTCACAAGCTTTTTATCTTTCAGTTTTGCCTGTTGCTTGGTAAAAGATGAAATTCTGTCCGTCTCACATAAAGAGGGCATTTTAACCTTAATGTGCTGTCCTTCAAAAAGTTTTCAACTTAACATTTTGTAGACTGATGTGAATTTACATAAAATTTTAACTGGGAACAAATAAAAAAAGCATTTGCTTTTCCTCAGTCAGCACAGACAATCCACTCTCACCGCAAGCCTGTGAATAACCCCACAGCTCCTATGAAAACAGTAGCGTGTTGGTAATAACCGCCCAGTGATGCCAGATGGGACTGTTTTCACCCTGCCTTCAAGACGCTGGTGAGCTCAGATGGACAGTGGCACAGTTGATTTGCTGGTACAACCCGCCTCACCTTTCTAAGCCCCCAAAGACCTGAGAGGGAGTGGAGGAAAAATGAAAAGATTACAGAGGCAGCTTCACTAGGGTTGGGGGTGGGTCAGGCTGAGGGGTGTCAGATGCGAGGGGAGGGGGCTCCGTCGGTTGCCGCAGGCTGCTTCGAGGAAAGGAGAGTCTAGACTAGGCTGACCTTTGCGAGCCAGGGCTTTCTCTACAGGTCAAGTTGGATATGGAGGGGGGATAATGGAAAAACCTCAAGGGAGTTTTCGAATGAAATCCAGATTGGCTGCTGGCATGTAGTTTTTCTCCTCCCCTTCCCGCTCCCTAATCCCTGCACTGCATGGGGGTAATAGTGTGGAAATGATGGGGGGAGTGTCGCCTTGATCAAAAATGAGCAGTGGAACCTAGTCACCCCATTCTAACACCCAGATTCATGCCCACTATATATATAAATATATCTGCGCATGCAACCACTGCAGGCCAGGTTATCCAATGCGATTCCAGGCACCGGCTGCAGCCTCTAGACCTTTGTCAAATACCTTGCTGAAATGATTTAGGAGAGCTGCCGCATATTCGCATTCTTATATAAGGTTCTTGAAATGAGCTGAAGCCAATGTATGAGATTTAGGAATTTGTTAGATGTATTTGCTTTGACATATTTGACATTGGTTCAGTCTTATCACCTTGCTAGAAAAAAATATCTCCAGTCCCAAAGAAAATAATAATCTCATAATATTTGAGGTTTAAAGCAAAAGTTATTTTTGCTTTAAAATCTTGAATGCTTGGAAAAATGTGCCATTTAGGGGTGTAACCCTGAGAGAAAAACAGTTTTCAAGTGTTCACAGTGAGCCTATGCTGTGGAGTATAAGTGCTAATTGCTAATTAAATGGCTAATTGCTAATTAAAGCTAATGAGATTCCTCTGGATTCTCAGTGCACTCCGCCATTTTGAGCGTGGCTAATGTACAGTGCCTTGCTAAAGCATTCAGACACTTAACCAGAGTTCTTATTGAATTACATGATAAATACAAAAATTAGGCTATGCCTACACTAATCCAGATACATTTGAAAATGCATATTTTCCTTATGGCCTTCCATCAAACCTGAGTTAGTTGAAGATTGAAAACATTTCAGCTATGGAATAAATTCTACATTCCAAAAAAATTAAAGGACGCCTACGATGAAAATCATTTTTTGTGTGCTAGACAGAACTGTGTGCAAGTATAGTGTGTTCACAGTAATATTGGGGGTGATAAGACAGTAAGTCTCCTTTTTTAATTTCTTGAAGTTAAATTTATAATCATATCAGCAAGACAGGATGTGTGCAAAGCAACTGGGATTAAAAGATCTGTTCAGCGTGCTGTGATCATTAATCATCATGAATTACAGCAATTGTACCGTCTTTATCACCACAGCCGCATGTCAGTACTCTTAATTATAAAAGTAGATGCTTCAATCCCAGTTTGTGGACTTTAAATCAATTTTATTTTATACATTAACATAACGGATATAAATACAGCAGTGGAAATTAAAGTCCCAGGTAGCAAAGAATTCTGGCCCAGATTTGGCATAAAGTTGGCACAGCAGGTATTCGTCCGGCAGTGGCATGCAGCATGTGGGCCCTGGTTTGGCTGAGGTGGCACCGTCTTACAGGTGGCACACAAGACTTGGGCCAGATATCAAATGTAGTATTTGGCTCAGATGTTAAAATGTACATGTGAGCCACGTAAGTTCAGCCTATCTTGACTCACTTTTAAAACACATTTAAATTATTTTTGAGTAAAGAAAAAATTCTATTAATCAGGTCGCTTCAAGAAAAAGCGAAATGCTTCATGGGTTATAAAAAACATTGCAGTCGTGACACACCAACATATCTGGCCCAGTTCAGGCCCATTTATGGGTTATTAACCTAACTGAAACTTGGCCCAGATATGGTCCATGTTTGCCTCTTGTATGGAAGCCAGACTTGGTCCAGTCATGTACCGTAATTCATTGCGGCATGTGGGCTAAGCAAATGCTGATGGTGTGGGCCAGATTTGCAATATTGCAAAGTTAAATGTGTGCTGTGTGTGTCCGCCATGTGTTGTGCTTGAACTTTGTGTGTGACTCATCATCGCAGAAAGGCTTAAATTAACTCCACAACAAAAACACCAAATAATAATTGGGAAAGTTCTTACTTTAGTATTTCTTTCAAACGTTATGTAAGATCTGCTTCCTTCATGTCTGTCACTGTGCTGTTTTTCTGATGCAGCCGAGGCAGAGATTTTGACACACTCTGACAGGCACGTGGGAATGGTTGGTGGGAAGAATTAGCATTAAAGGCACTGGCAACAAAAACAGCTACATTGTGTTCAGAGTAGACAATTCCAATATTTTAAAAGGTCTAATAAATCATCTGATGAATGTTTTGAGCTAAAACTTTATAGACACATTCTGGAGACACAAAAGACTTATATTAAATCTTGAAAAAGGGGTAAAATAGGTGTCCTTTAAAGTTTGTCTTGTAATCTAGACAATTTAAATAGAAATGTATGAATAAAAAACACACAGTGTTGTTAATGATTGTATAATCTTCATATTTTGTTGCATATTTCATTATTTTTTTATTTAAAATACAAATTTACATTTTTAAAACCATACAGTAATCCAAACCTGGGGTGTTTTTTAAAAAAAAAACCATCAGTAACCAACTAAGGTTGTGAGTTCATTAATTAATAGTTCATTAATTTGGCATTTCCCAAATTCGTCGTTCCAAGGTACATTTGCAAACTGCATTGCAAACTTGTTTGCTTGCTGCTAGACCTCTGAAGCTGTAGTTAGAAACATAGTTCCTGGTTGTGTTCTATTCACAGATATCCCTCCTATGCCCTATTCGTTTAGAACATTCTAACATTTAAACTTGAAATGATTAAAAAATCTCTCTTAGGTCTGTTTTTACAGCTCTGTTTTAACGATCTTTAGGTTTACAATTGCGCTCCCTTAATGGTTTCCTATTAAATAATAAATATTAAATTTAATTTCTTCATAAATAGCATCATCATTTATTTATGTGATTTAGATATGATATTAGACTACGTGTAAGCTTTCGTAAGTGATTTTATGTTTAAGAATAGAATGTGAAATATTCTCAATATTATTTTAAATGAAACATAGACTATATGTGAATATGTGCCATTTACATACATTATATTTAAATTAAAACAGACAGCGAGTGCATGTTTTTACCAAAAATAATATATATATATATATTTTTTTTAAATGAGTGTGTGCGTGTAAAATAATATCATTTGCACAAAGAAATTATGGGGTTCTTCTTTAAAGAAGTTGTTACCACCCTGTATAGAGCATCATTATGGGTGTTTTACGTTATAACTAACATGATTCAAACGATAAACAGAGAAACTACGGGTTTTGGGAAACACTCGTCACTATATTGTTCATTTCCCAAATGATGCATTGAACGATGATAACTAATTTGCAAGTTACGTCGTTGTATGGGAAATGTACCCCTGGACTGGTTGATGTTGGTTACTGTTTTAAAAGCTTCCCTCATA